GTGTCGTGGTTAAGAGCACGGACTCTAATCTGGGAGAACCGGGTTTGATTCCCCACTCCTCCACTTGCACCTGGCTGGATGACCTTGGGCAAGCCGTAATTCTGATAAGAGCTGTTCTTGAAAAAGAGCAGTTTCTGTCAAGAGCTCTCTCAGCCCCACCGACCTCACAGGGTGTCTGTTGTGGGGAGGGGAAGGGAAAGGAGTTTGTAAGCTGCTCTGAGACTCCTTCGGGTAGTGAAGGGCGGGGTATAAATCCAATCTCTCAGTTTCTGTGAAGAGCTCTCTCAGCCCCACCGACCTCACAGGGTGTCTGTTATGGGGAGGGGAAGGGAAAGGAGTCTGTAAGACGCTCTGAGACTCCTTTGGGTAGTGAAAGGCAGAGTATAAATCCAATCTCTTCTTCTTCTTCTTCTTCTTCTACCTCACAGGGTGTCTGTTGTGGGGAGGGGAAGGAGTTTGTAATCCGCTCTGAGACGCCTTCTTCTTCTTCTTCCTCCAACTTGGTGGTTCTATGATAGTCTCAGGGTATGCAGCCGAAATGGGCATTTTCCAGAGCTCTGGGATGGGACGGCCTCCGTCCCCAAATGTTGTCACCATACAAAGCACAGAATAGTTACAAGAATGGGCACAGTAATAAGACCAATGAAAAAAGAAAAAAGAACTGTGATAATTTAGCGCTTGGTACTATCTTCTTCTTCTTCTTCTTCTTCTTCTTCTTCTTCTTCATATGGCTCTGGGTAGACCACACCAATATCCAGTGAAGGGTGCTTTGACGCTCAAAAGCTCACCCCTCCCAAAATCTTGTTGGTCTCTAAGGTGCTACTGGATTCGAACCAAGCTGCACCGATTCAGGCATCCAGAAGATATGCCTGGCAGCATGCTTGTGGACTGGTACCAGCAGGGGATTCCTCGCATCGGTGCTCCCTGTGTCCGAAAGTTTCTCCGCATGAGGAAAGACAGCATGTCAGGCAGAAGTGCTGCAGTTTAGCCTTCTTAGATTGCTCACTTTTCACATAGGGTCAGGCAGGATCGCAGGTCCTCAGTCTTTTGAGAGGAGATTAGAACTGCTGCCTGGGGATCCGATTCAGGTGAAGGTTATGCAGGAAGGGAAGAAGAAGAAAAGAGATTGGATTTATGCCCCGCCCTTCGCTCGGCGTCTCAAAGTGTCTCACAATCTCCTTTCCCTTCCCCTCCCCACAACAGACACCCCGGGAGGTAGGTGGGGCTGAGAGAGCTCTTTGGAGGACTGCTCGTGAAAGAACAGCTCTGAGAGAACTTGTGACTGACCCAAGGTCACCCGGCCGGCTGGATGTGCCGGAGTGGGGAATCGAACCCGGTTCTCCCAGATTAGAGCCCGCGCTCTTAACCACCACTCCAAACTGGCTCTCAGGGTTGAATCCAACCTGGTGCCCGTGGGTGTCAAACTCTGCTTAGTTTGCCATAGTTACAGGGGGGAGGGAAATTCCTGTGGGGGGTTTGAATGGCTGTGTGTGTGAACCACTCTATCATAGGCATCGTAACTCTTCCTGAGGATATCTTCCTCCTAGAGGACCGACCTGAGGAACGACCTTGAGACCGAAGCTGTGCCAACTTCCTACTGTAGATAACGGGATCGTATATTCCGAGGTGTGTGGGGGGGTAGTGAACGCAAGAGCTAGGCGGGATGCCCGCAGAGTGTGATTGGTTATTCCCCAGGAGGACCCTGTTCGAACTGTCTATAACTTTCGACTTTCCCACCAGAACCTCAGTTCTGCCACAGTACCATTCTAGCCTGGATCATGCTCATATCTCAACGAATAAATCACTACCAAAGAGAGTGTTATTGGGAGTCTCTTGACCTAGAGTCTGACACTGGGCACTGTGGTGCCTGCCGACCCCTTTCCTGGGGCCTGCCGAGTTTTCTTTAGAAAGTGGGTGGAGCCAGGCGGGGCTTTTGCCCAGCAAGTCTTCTGACTGGCCACTGGAGATTTGATTGGCTGTGCAGATTTTTTTTTTTTAAAGGATGCTTTGGCAGGTGCTGCTGCCGTAGCCAAAGGATCTTCACCGTGTGACTGCAAGGTAAGCTGCAGCGGCCCTTTCATGGATGATTCTGCCTCCTGTGGCAGCTCTTTTGTGGCAGACATTTTGTGGCTGCGCCCACCACAATGTGTCGGTATTCCAAAGGGGCCCGCAGCCTCAAAACGGTTGGGGACACCTGCCCTAGCTAGGGAGGAGTGGGGCTCTTGGGGGTGTAGTGGTTAAGTGCGCAGACTCTAATCTGGGAGAACCGGGTTCGATTCCCCACTCCTCCACATGCAGTTGCTGGTGTGTCCTTGGGTCAGTCACAAGTTCTCTCAAAGCTGTTTTCTCAAGAGCAGTTCTCTCAGAGCTCTCTCAGTCCCACCTCCCTCACAGGGTATCTGTTGTGGGGAGAGGAAGGGAAGGAGATGGTAAGGCACTCTTGAGACTCCAAGTAAAAGAAGGAGAATAGATTGGGTTTATACCCTGCCCTCCACTTGGAGTCTCAGAGCAGCCTACAAACTCCTTTCCCTTCCCCTCCCCACAACAGACACCCTGTGAGGTAGGTGGGGCTGAGAGAGCTCTGACAGAAACTGCTCTTTTCAAGGACATCCTCCTCCTCCTCCTCCTCCTCCTCCACAGTTCAGTGAGCCCAATTTTGTTCTGTAGACTCATGGAGAAAGAAGAGTGTTAACCCTCATCCCCGTGAGTCCCCAGTCCATATTTCCCAGTTTCCCCACTGTTTTCGCTTTCAGAGGGAGCTTTCTGCTGAGCTCATATTTTACACAAACTCATATTGAGCACATCAGAAGTTTCTCGGATATATTGGAAGACTATACAGAGTAGAATATATGAAATGGTAAATGTTAGGCTTGACTTACTGCCTGAAATATACTTATTAAATATGATGCCGGAAGATATTACTTATAATGAAAATATTTAATATTATATATAATTACAACTGCAAGAATACTATGGGCTGGGCTACATACTGGAAGCAAGATAATACTCCCAAAAGGGAAGAAGTAGTGGAGAAACTGATGGAAGTAGCTGAAATGGATAAATAAAGCCTAGTGATACAAGGGAAAAACGAGGAAATCTTTTTAAAAAGATGGACAGGATTGTACAAAATGTTGGAAAATAGATAAAAGACTCTAAAATATATGTATCTATATGAATTACTTGTTATGTGTGTTTGAAAACCAATAAGTATAATTTAAAAAAGAAGAAGTTTCTTGGGTAGCAGAACCAGGAGCGGCCCACGCCTGCAGATGTGGAGGGCCGCAGCTGGCAAGAATCGATGGGCCTTCGGTCTAAACTCTGTGTCCCAGGCCCGAGTGGGTTATACCGTGTTCTTGTGCTCCCGGTGCAAGCGTGCTTTCTGCCTCTGCCGCCTGTTCTCTGCCAGAGTGGAGAAAGCTGGCTGGGGAGACGCCAACACAAGACGGTCTGATCCAGCCATAGCCCACCTGTTAGGGCGGCACATGGAGAGCTGGCTCGTTTTGGGACCCGTCAGCTGATCGGCATCGCGCTTATGACTTCTGCCTCCCTGCGTGAGCAGTCATAGGAGTGGAATTATGAAATATGTGAGCCTCTAGGGTTCCCAGCTTCCATTTGAGGCCTGGAGTTCTCCAGGAGGTAGAACTGATCTCTAAACGACAAGAGATCAGTTCCCCTGGGGGAAATCGGCCGCTTCAAAGGACAAACTCTGTGGTATACCATAGAGTCTTGGAGAAACAGAAGTCTTTATTATTTATTAGATTTTTTTTTTTAGTCGCTGCTCACCCAAAAGGGTCTCGTGGCGACTTACAACATCAAAACCAATAAGGTAAAACGACATAACAACAAATATAAAGTGTTAACATTAAAATATTAAAATACGTGGCTATCACCATACCACTGTTAAAACAGCCCAAGCACATTTGGGTGTACCCTGCAACCTAAACAATTCAGACTTGCATGCCCTGCGGAAACTAAAGTCCAGCAGGGCACAGATGTCATCTGAGAGTGCATTCCACAGGATAGGGGCCACAACCGAGAAGGCCCTGGGGATAGCTAACCAAACCACCCTGGGGCCAGGCACCTGCAAAAGCCCCCCTAGACAATGACCGAAGGGAGCCCGGGGGGGGGGGG